CTTGTCACAGTGACACGGCTCGTCACCCTAATGTGAGCAGAAATCGGGGCGGGGGAACATACATTCGAGTTATTTCACGAGCAAATATTTCGGATGCCATCTGTCATGTATTTTTGGCTAGAAAAGGGCAATAAATCCAACGTTAAAATGCAACAGAGAGTATACAAATATGTGCTAAAAATACCGTCATACATGCTTCCTCGCAGGCTCACAAAACGTTAAATATACAAGATTTCGGCCCGACCATAAAGGGATTAAAAAAGATTCTAATGTTTGGTCATTTGGTCAGATTTTCAACGTGATATGTCCGAAAGCTTTAACAGCAATACGAAGAATTAACTTAAAGCAATGATAGAGGCGTCATCATGCAAGGCTGGTCTATCTATTAACACACACACATACATACATACATACATACATACATACATATATATATATATATATATATATATACAATATGAACAACGAAATCAAACTGCACAGTTACTGTCGGTTTGACACCTTAAACGATCATCAGACTATTATATACGTGTACCAACCAGCAATCTAACACGAATCAGGAAGTCAGAGTGCATAGGTATATATATATATATATATATATATATATATATATATATCTGTGTGTGTGTGTGTGTGTGTGTGTGTGTGTGTGTGTGTGTGTGTGTTGGTTAAAATTTGTTACAGGTCAAGTGTGTTCAATATTAAGGATAGAGCATTTATTGATATAGACAATGTATACCTAGGAATCAACACTACATTGTGACTCAGTTTTATGCATCAATGCCACTATTCCTTTAGGAAGCTATATATATGTTATACTGAAACACACCTATTCTATTGTTAATAGACTCTCCCACATATAATAAGTAGTAGTAGTAGCAGTCGCCAGGGAGTTCAGAGTGAGCTGGTGAGTCAGTCGATGTCGGACATTAAAGTATCAACCACCACAACTAGATTGCTGCGTCATTAACTATTATAACGTTTTGTAGGTCGAACCTTTTTAGGACCGACTTAGGGAAATACAAGCCTCCACTCAAAAAAACTAATCTACACAAATAATATATATATATATATATATATATATATATATATATATATATATATATATATATAGTGAACTGTTTATATAGGTCGCTAGAGGGATTAAATGAGTCTGGGAAACGGAAACCATCTCTTCCCAGTTTCTTTGGTTTAGTACTTATGTTCAGATTTATTTACAGCCATACACTCTGGGTTACTTATTCCTGCTGGTTGAGTGGTTGAGAAATATATATATATATATATATATATATATATATATATATATATATATATATATAATCGGATGATCGCTTAACGTGTGAAACTGACAGTCATCATGCAGTTTAATTTCAATCTCCTTACAGTTTATACATATATATATTTTATGTGTGCGTGCCTGTGTGCGTGTGCGTGTTAATAGATAGATAGATAGATAGATAGATAGATAGATAGATAGATAGATAGATCAATCAACACTGAATGGTGACTGTCAGTTTCACGCCTCAGTTCATGTATTTTAAGTCAGTTCTTCGTATTGGTGTTACAGCTTACGGACATATCACGTTGAAACACCAACTCTCATCCTATCACCGAAGTTAAGCAAAGTTGAACCTGGTCAGTACCTCGATGAATGTGCTGTTTGTGGATATGGATAACGGCTCAGGATGAGAAATCGGAGAGCCAAGTTCGAATTCCAGTCGAGTTCGTTACACTCACTTATGCGCAAATGTGTTTGGTAAAGGTATGAAAACCAACTATTCTCCCCCAGTTAACTGTTAATTAGCAGGGAAGACTGGGCCCTATAACGTTGGTTGGCAACCAGTCTCCTGTAGCAAACAAGTGTAGCCTACTGCGTGACTTCTTCTGCCAGATCAATCATGAATCAGTGACTTGATCGTCCAAGCGTGCATCCCTCATGTCGCCTAAGGGAATTAAGGATCGGTCTTAAAATAGATTTTAGAATTATCATTAAACTTTACAAGCTAATGCTATTTGGTTGTTACTTTGAGATATGCAAACTGCGTAGAGTTAATTCTTGATTATTTGCGATGAACAAGGTTGGTATCGCACACATACATGTAACATATGTGTTACTCCTGATCATACCGAGGTGGGTCTTGCATTCAATTTCACACCAGACTATGAAGGAAGCCAGCTACATTGTAGACCTGGGATGAGACCGGCGTTTCACTTTTCGTCTGCAGTGACCTTAGAGGTGCATATCTGTGGGAAATCTGCATTTGATATGTGTGTGCGTGAGGAGAAAAAAAAAAAAGAACTTGTAGATGTATAAACAAACGCTCCAAAGAGGAGTTGCGTAGTTTCTCACACATAGCAGATACAGACGAGAATGTAAGGTTGTACGCTCCGGCCTTCTTCAGATGATTGAAATTATGAACCGGACCCATTATTTCGTCCACCGGGGTAGATTATTCTAGTTCCACGTGCTGTGTCTCACTTTTTTGTTTTTTGTTATTTTTTCACCCCTGCAGTGGCCAGTTATTGAACTCACAGCTCTTTGTTCTGAAGAAAGCCGGAGTGTACAACGGACGAAACGTCGTGAATATGGCAATAAAGATGAGGACAATAGTCCGAACAATGTAAATAATTACAATACCTCATCTCAGAAATATAGACAGATGGTTTGGTGTCTGTTCTGCATAAATCCCACATTCCAACAATCTCATGTACTAAGATTGGGGGCAATCAACTGACACATAAAAGATAAAAAAACACTGACTGATAAGGTGACAGGTTGGAAAAGCTTTAAGAAAAGAAGAAAACAGTAAATTGTTTTATTGTAACATCTAGATGGGGGTGTGGTGTCGTATTGAGTCCAAGTTAAGAGACAGCAGATTAAATATAAATATTTTACTTGCCATATGGGGAGAGAGAGGGAGGGAGGGGGAGATGGAGAGAGCGAGAGTGACTATATGGACATAGGGATCAGCACTGCATGGAGACTGTCAGTTTCACGCTTTAATACGATCTTCAGACTTGGAAAAACATTTGGGATTTATGCGCATGGTACAGGGGAGATAACTGTAGCATAGCAAAATGGCTCAAGGATACCACAAAATAAAAATCAAGATGGTTACATTAGATGTTAAAACAGCGGCTTTAGGATGCTAAATAAAATGTGAAGTTTAAAAGATTTCTCATTGTGTATTAATTCTTACCTTCTTATGAAATAAACATTTTTCTCTTTAGATGTATTATCCGACATTAAGCATTTTATTTTTTTATTTTGACTGTGAAATAACGTTTTAAACTGTATTCCGTCATCAAAAAATACTGTAGTATACTGTATTATACAGTATTTTAATGACCGGGAAATACTGTATTACACATTACTGTATAACCTGAAAATGCTTTATTATTGTGTACTGTATGACAGGGAAATGAGGTATAATACAGTATTTAGTAACCAGGAAATACCTTATTATATGGTATTTTTTGTCAAGCAAATACTGTATGTCGTGACCGGGAAATACTGTGTTATACTGTATTTTTCTAACTGGGAAATATTGTATTTTATTGTTTTTTTTATATTTTTATTTTTTTACCGGAAATACGGTATTGTACATTATTGTATAACTTGTAAATGCTGTATTATAGTGTATTGTTTGTTAGAAAAATAGGGCATTAGATTTTATTGTGTGACCGGGAAATATGTTATTTTACTGCATTGCAAGCGAGCAATACAGTATTCTACGTATTGCAGTGTATGTACGTTACATTCACAGTGAATACATATTAAATCTCTTCTTAAAACACGTTTCAAGAAACTTCATAGTTCCATCCTCTAAACAATTTTTTGTCATTCTCAGCAAAGCAACTGTTTCTCAAGAGCTTTGAACCTGGTATTTGTTGTCCTCTAAAAATAAATGGCAATCCGAAGGTGCAATTCCTGGTAAATATGGATGATGTGTGAAAACCTCTAAACAAAACCGTGAGAAATTTTGTGCATTTACCAAATAAACATGTAATCACTTGTTTACTTGATGGAATATTACTTTCTGTATCTGTCTGTCTGTCTCTTTATCTCTGTCTCTGTTTTTGACATTGTCTCTGTCTCTCTGTCTCTGTCTCTCTCTGTCTGTCTCTCTCTCTCACTCACACACACACGCACACACACAAACACTTCAGCTGGTTTAAATGGGAACGGTACTTATTAATTTTGTTTTCCGGAAGATCACCATAGATGATGCTTTCATTTTCACGGATCATTTCACGGTTCATTTCGCTTGCCTCAAAATATCAAGAATTTCACGTTGTTGTAAGATATGTACTTTTCATCGTCTTTCACAATTTGTTTAAAAAATGACATATTCTCAAATACAATATAATATATTTTCTTTGTCGATCGCTATTAAACTCAGATGTTTTACCCGACCGTGGAGCATACTTCAGCGAAAATTCTCCAATTTGTAGATCACAATACCTTCTCCATAAAATTCACAAGGCCCTTCTTGAAACGGAGCTGCATTTTTACTAATTAGAAAAAATTAAAATATATGATCTGCCGAAAATCTTATGTTCTTGCATTTACACCGCTAGAATTAATTTTTCATCTTCAAGACGTGGGCGATCATGGTTCACCAAAATTTTGAGTTTGTTTTCACTCAGAATCAATAAGCAAACATATATAAATATATAAATTTTCCTCTATTTTTATCTTTTATAATTCCATTCCAAGCAAGGCGATAAAGGGCGTAACTGAGAGTAAAAATGAGAAAATATTATTGAGTAGAAAAGGAAATAAAAGAACAGGTTTCAAAACGACAGAAGATGAGGATTAACGTTGCGTTTAAATTTTTTGAAGATTGTAAAGCAAGAAGCTAGAAGAGAGTTCCACAGGCAAGAAGTGCAAGAGAAGAAACTATTAGAATAGAACTTACGACTACATTTAGAAATTTCAACAGTAAAATGATGAAACCTTGTTGCCAAAACAGTACTACTCTTAAATTCATGAAGGCTTACGGCCATATCGCGTTGAAACACCGGTTCACGTCTGATCACCGAAGTTAAGCAAAGTCGAAATTGGTCAGTATCTAGATGGGTGACCACTCGAGAATACTGTAAGCTTGGATGTGCGGATGGTTTAATGAATAAAGGCTCGGAAAGAGAAGTTGGAAAACCGAGTTCGTATTCCGGTCAGGTTCATTATATTCACTTACGCACAATTACCCACGGGAAAGGGATGAATCCACCTCTTCTACCCACCTACTAATTATGGGTTAAAATAGTAAGCCTTGAAAATCATTATTATTTCCAAGAAATTGTTAATACAATATTCACTTGCAAAAAATAATTATACTTACAATGCTAAAATATCTTTCGGCTTTAAATAACCCACAAAAAGGTTGATAAACCGTAAAATACAGATTGACAATCAAGTTCATTTAGTCGAGGTCGCAAAGTAGAAAGCTAATCAGAACAATTAGCATGTAAATATTTATATTGATATAAATTATTTTTAAAAGAAAATGCACACTGATATGACTGCTATCACAATATCATAAAAAGTAATGTTTTAAAACATTCTTACAATGCTCCTAGTGTCATCTAGTAATAGACAGAGAAAAGTTTTTATATACACACACATACACAGAGAGAGAGAGAGAGAGAGAGAGTAAGAGAGTAATTGAAAAATAATTTTAAAAGCATTGGCGGCGGGGTTTTTTGCACAAAAACAAAAGCAAACGTTCATATAGACATAAATCCACCTCGGCGTGGTGTAATGAGTAGTGAGTTCGATCCTCACTGGGTGCCTCATACTTTTGGCCTTGTGCCACATCTAGGTTACGCCTGGAAAATTATTTCGGCACCTCGAGGCGGTGTAATGATTAGCAACCTTGTCTCGCTGGAACAATTACGACTGAGTAGTGAGTTCGAACCTTACTGGGTGCCCACTATTTTCGGCCTTGTGCCACATCTAAAATCGCTTGGAAAATCACTATATCCACCTTGTGTGTTTATATATGTTTATATATATATATATATATCCGTATTTGGAGCTTCATGGATTATTTTAATCTTTTAGAGAAAAACTATGACAAACCGGAAAAAAACTTTCTCTCTAAAATTGTTCTTGATATATCAAAAGTTTATATATCGTTTTCCCATTATCTTACATTCAATTCTTGTCAGATTTCTTAGTAAATTAATTTTATTCATATACAGATCGTATTTTCATATATATATATATATATATATATATATATATATATATATGAAAAATATATATAAAAATATATATATAAATATATATATATATATATATATATATATATATATATATATATATATATATATATATAGTTGTTTTAAAAAATGAAAACCTTGCATTTGCCTTGATAAAGTCCCTCAGAGAACGAAACGCGGCGGCTAAGATAAGTTTTCCTTTTGTCTTTATTCATATATATACATATATATATATATATATATATATATATGTGTGTGTGTGTGTGTGTGTGTGTGTTATAAAAACTCTGTATATCAGACTAAGAATGGAGAACTGAATAATAAAAAGGAAAAAAAATACAATGTTATACTCCTCGTCCTTTGAAAAGTCTTCTTTAGACTAAAAAAAAAACGTCTTTATCGATAGAATCCTATATAAGTGAAAAGTGCGAACGAAATTCAACAAACGTTGGTTAGAATTATACAACGAGAGAAACTCTGAAGATACACAGTGGCCTATCTTTACATTTGTGGCATCTATGCCCAACATAGTTTACGTTATTCAACTTTCTACCGCTTCTGCTCTTGATTTTATTGCTATTTTTTTCAGATATCTCATATTATAATGGAAGTAGTTTTGTTAAGAAAGGCGATATGCTATATGATCATGGATGTAAATTTACCGTGGAAGACTCAGAAATTAGTAAACTTTCTATACATTTTCGATTTAACAAATTAATTTCTCTTTTAAATAAAACGGCACTCTTTAACTAGAAATTATGGTCAAATTTATAACGATGAACGACTAATGCTTTGAGTGTTTTGGGGGCTTTTTTTTGTTTTTTTGTTTTTTTGTTGAAGATCCCTTTTGTGTTCTTATCTTTTATTTAAATTTTTAGGTGTTCCATCTATGTATTTCTTGTGACAATTACAATCTATACTGTAAATTCCGACTTCAAATTTTAGATTTTTATTATTTCGTTTCCTATTGTATTAAATATTTCCTTTTCTAAAAAAATATTCTGATGAGCTTTCCTCTAGGGCACCTAGATTCTATGAATTTAAGCGCAATATTATATTGGAGCCAATATCTCATTTTACAGCTGAATTGAATAAATGTAACCGTAAGTCCTATATAAAATTTTTACTTTTTTTTAAAAATGTTAGCCTTGTATATGTTTAATCGACTAGATTGTTTGGGGTTTTTGGGGATTTTTTTTGTATTTTTTGTTTTGTATTTTTTGTTTTGTTTTTTTTCCCCCAATACACGTTTTTTTTAGAGAAGTGCATTTTTTGTGAAAGGCAGACGGTTTTTGCAAAAATTGTTACATTTTTTGTAACCTTTTCGGCTCGGTGGTTGAAACCCGTCAAATTTTGAAGGATCAATTTTCAGTTTATGGAAAATTATTTTTTCGTATATACTGATCAATGAGAGACGTGGTCTTAACCTCTAATAACATCCCGAATAGTGGAGCAGAGATTATCCGAATTTTTAAAATAAATAGAGCTCAGGTCAGTATATACGGACAAAAGACCTTTGATCGCAAGGGGAGATGGCAGGTAGTTAACATAAGAAAAAGCATTTGGCATCAAGAATTGAAGTTTACTGAAGTTACCGCCAGCCGCGGAGACAACAAAAGTTCAAGTGAAAATTCTCCTGTGGTTGGACAGCCAAAAACGAAAAGATTTCTAAGAAATTTCCCCAAGCACGAATTGTGTGAGGTTAAAACTAAAAGGGTACTTTTAAAAAGGTGAAAATGAAAGTAAAAGTAGGTTTTTCATTTTTTTTTTTTTTTCTCAAAGGCACCTTCGTTTTTTTTACTGCTTTCTTGTATTGCTTACTCTTTTTGCCATTTTGAAATCGTTGTCTTTTCCCAAGCTGTTTTTTTTTTCTATTTTTCACTAGCAATCTTTTCTATCAGGAAATTGTTATCCTGCCTTAATAGGGCACAAAAGGCAATGTTTGTGCAAAGTTGTATTGTACCTATTTTTTTTTTTTTTTTCGTAATTGTAAAATAAATGTGTTTTTCCTTTTAAAATTATACGCAGTGGTTGTCGTTTTGTAATTTTGCGCCGATTATGTTTTATTATTCCTAAATTTTTGTGCCTGGAACAAGAACTTGGATTTGGTAGAGAATAAAATTTTTATATCTATGCTAACAGTTTCTTTCCACGCACTTCTCGCCTGTGGAACTCTCTTCCGTCTTCTTGCTTTCCAGCCAACTTTGATCTTCAAAAGTTTAAACGCAATGTAAATCGTTATCTACTGTCTTCTTGATTCCTCTTTTTTCTTCTTCTCGATCCTTAATAAATAATTTTTTTCTATTCGTTTACACTAAGTAACCCCTTGTGTCTTAGTAGCTATATTACCTTGCTTGGGGTGCAATGATTTAAAAAAAATGTATTACCTAAACTTTGAAATAAACTGAACAAAATCGAATGCACAAAGAAAGAAAGAAAGAAAGAAAGAAAGAAAGAAAGAAAGAAAGAAAGAAAGGAAAAATATTAGATAAAAGTTAAAAGTAAAAGAGTAAATTTTGGCGAGAGTGGAAAGATATAGAACACACACACACATACACGCACAAAATTATATACAATGAATAAAAAATAATACGCTAAATTAAATTAAAGGTTTGCTTTTACTGGTTTTCTTCAAAGAATCCTAACTTCCGGAGCAGACAAAAAACTCCAGCAACGTTTTAACATGGCTTTTTAGCACTTCCGGTTTCGTAACTATTTGAGAAATTTCACGTTGCGCAAAATTCGATTTTTTAAAGTGATACCGATCATGAATTTTTCTCAAAATTTAATGTACACTATAGTATATACATAGTCTGTTTGATTCGTTTTCTACTACGACTCATCAACTCCTACTATGATATATACACAGGAAACAAATTTAGTTTGTGAAGTTTCAGGATAAATAAATATACAGATATGATAATTACTGTGTATATTCAGGAAGATCTTGCACGGAAATATTCAACTAAAACACACACACACACACACACACACACACATACACATACACATACACACATATATTGAGGAATCGGAGAGCCGAGTTCGAATTCAAAGTGAATCCATTAAATTCACTTACGTGCTAATACGTGCTTGGGAAAGGTATTAATCCTTCTTCCAGCTATGTGTAAATAGCAGGATAGACTGGGTTCTATAGCCTTGGATGGCAACTCGTCTAGAAGAAGGACAACTCTGAAGTCAAAATCTGCAGAGGACTGGTTGGGGACCTTGTGGCGCATAGTGCACCAGGTTTTTGTATTCAAGAGCCGAATAGAGAGGCTGGTTCTGCGCAAAGACTTCACCACTATGATCAAATCATATATTTTGGTGTCCGGCTGTCGGTTCCTAGGAACTGATCTGCTTGACCCTCATACATCGAATACGTCGGGAGAGATCACCGTATACATACATATATATATATACGTATGTGTGTCTGCGGGGACCGAAATATGCCTACTGCATCCCATGCAGAGAGGTTTAAGATCCCTCCAAAACAATTCACCTTCCCGGTAGGTGCTTATAGACTCAGGTATATACCCGACCAATGTTTACCTATATACTCTTAGTGAGCACGAAATAACAGTAACTCCCTTTTTATCCACTCTCTTCAAATTTGGGTGAACTGAAGAAAAAGACGAAATGAAATTCTCGAGCCTATGTGAAATTTTCTTTAGACCAAGGAAAAGCTTGCCTTCACAGAGATTGGCCGGCGAACGGAGAAGACGGAAATAAATTCGAAAGCCTATGTGAAGTTGCTTTTGGGACAATGGAAAACTTATCTCCACAGAAATTAGCCGTTGAGCCAAGAAGAAAAAAGAAAAGAAAATAGCGAGCCTATGCGAAATTCTGTTTTGATATAAAATGAAAAAGATTA